TCACCATAACAGCCGTACTCGATTCTGGGAACGAACAAGCGGATCGATAAACTGGGCGTAAAAACTCACGAGAGGATCAGCAGTAATCGATAAATGAACCGAGAGCGGAAAAGAGCCTACTGACGAAGGGTGAGGTTGACTCGTGGTCATAATTCGTCCACTCCCGATGGCCGACGCAGTGGCGGCAGCGGTGCCACGTGTCGTGTCGCAATTGAACGATCTGGGGGCGTTCCCGAGCGCCACGTGGGTGGAAGGCGCGCTTCGACACATAGTCGCTACAGACCCGTCCCTAAATCTACCCGTTGACACAGGAGGAAGAGTAGGAGGATTATCGCGCGACGGCGGCGGGGGGAGAGGCGAGGGGGAGCGGGAGGCGTGGCGGGAAGTGGTAACCCGATGCATGGCGTTACTGCTACTAACGGATCTGAGAGCCGTCGCGTCCAATAGCGGCTGCTTGCCCGCTAACGTGCACGCCATGCATGACCAGACGCTGCGAGGAAGCTTCCTTCTGCAGGTGGGAACGGAGGGGGGGGGGGGGAAGTGGGGACGGGTGAGTGAGAGTTCCGGGATTTTGATCATAGTCGCGCCCGCAGTTAGTTTTGATCAAGAACGCGCATCTGATTTCCCCGAGTGTTCAGTCATGAGTGTTCCCCCCGTGTATCATGATGGGATTTGACAGCCCTGCCATGCGTGTCGCCCGCGTGTCGCCCGCGTGTTGCCCCCAGGTGGACGAGGTGGTACACAATACATAGCCCTGCCCATCACCTTACTTAGTCGAGGTGACTTTTGAGTCGACTCAAAAGTCACCTCGTGGACGAGATGCTACACTAAACATAGCCCTGCCCACCACCTTACTTATCAGTACCCGTATCTGACTGCCCTTCCCGCCTGCCCTCCCCCCCTGCCCTCCCCGCACTGCCCCCCGCGCCTGTCCCGCCCTGCGTGTCTCCCCTTGCTCCCCCAGGTGGACGAGGTGGCGAACATATCCGTGCCCCTCACCTGTCCTTCCATCCACTCCCCACATCTGTTTGCGCTCACTGCCCCGCCCCGCCCCGCCCCGCCCTGCGTGTCTCCCCTTGCTCCTCCAGGTGGACGAGGTGGTGGACATAGCCGTGCCCCTCAGGTTCCGCTACCCCCCTTCCCCCTCCGCCGCTGGCGCAGGGCGGGGGGGGGAAGGCAGGGGGGGAGGAAGGGGGGCAGGCAGGGGGCGGGGCCGGGGCATGGGGGACAGCAACGGAAGTGGAGCAGCAGGGATGAGTGGAGGAACGGGGGAGGACCAGCAGTGGGGAGGCGGAGGGGGAGGCGGAGGGGGAGGGGGGGAGGGGGCGGGGCAGGGGCGGCGGTGTCTGAAGGTGCAGCTGACAGATGGCGTGCAGGCGGTGTGTGGCATGGAGTACCGCCACGTGCCCTCCCTCTCGCCCTCCATGCCCCCCGGCTGCAAGGTGTGCGCCCCTCTGCTCTCTCTCTGCTCTGTGTGAGAGAGGGAGGGAGGGGGGGAAGGAAGGAGATGTTTGGTTCCTCATACCATCTATATTCCTCGTTGTCTCCTCATACCGGCTCCTCTTCCTCCTCTCCCATTCTCACTCTGGTGCTTGGTTCACTTTCCCTCTCCCTCTTTTGCCCTCTCTCTCTCTCTCCTTCTTTTCCTCTTGAACGGGCTGGCCCTCTCCCTCTCTTGTTGTATAAAGGCAGGTGATTCTAAGAGACGTGCTTGTAAGGAGAGGCCTGCTGCTTTTGCTGCCTGAGCTCGTGCAAGTCCTGGGAGGACACGTGGCACACTTGGAGGCCGCCAGGTGTCGCATTGCAGACCACTTCTCCCGCCCCTCTCGCCCCCACTCACTCTCACGGTGCGTGCGTGTGTGCGTGCGTGCATGTGCGTGCGTGCATGTGCGTGCGTGCATGTGCCAGCGCGCATGCATGCAAGATTGTGCATGCATGCGCGTTCACGTGCGTGTGTGGGCGTGTGTCTGTTTGTGTGTTGACGCTTTTGTGTCATGAGCCCTTTCACTCAGGTTGCTGCTTTTTTGAGGCGCCTCACAGCTCGCGTGCTGTCTGTCTGAGTGTATCTGTGTGCACGGATACCCCTAAATGTAATCTGCTACGCAAATCAGTGCTGTACCTTAAATAAATGTGGTGAGTGAGGAGCAGGGGTTGCGTCTTCTTCTTGCTCTCTGAATCTTTGCCTGTATCAGAAAACTAAACTGTACGGACTTCCTCCTCGTGCCTCTCACTCCCTTGCTCCTCTCCCTCTTTCCCTCCCTCACTCCCTCACTCCCTCACTCCCTCACTCTCCCTCCCTCCCTCCCTCCCTCCCTCCCTCCCTCCCTCCCTCCCTCCCTCCCTCCCTCCCTCCCTCCCTCCCTGCATGCATGCTCGCCAGGGGGCGTCTGTCCTCTCGCCTCACCTTGGAGAGCACCACTCACATGCTCGCTCAAGAAGTGGCATGGCCTCCCGACCCTGCTGCCTCGGCTACAGCCCCTGATGTTACCACTGATACTGCTGCTGCTGCCGGTGGTGCTGCTGCTGCCGGTGGTGCTGCTCGTGGTGGTGGTGCTGCTGCCGCTGCTGCTGCCACTGCTGCTGCTGGTGCTGGTACAACGTATGCTGGTACCCCTGGCTCGAACCAAAGTCAATTTCACAGTCGCAATCCCACTTCAGCAGCTGCGTTTCCTACTTTTGCTGCCGCCACCGCCGCCGCTGCTTCTGCTGCAGCAGTTGCGTCTGCTTCACCTGGTGGCCTGCATTCTTCCACTGTCGGCTCCAACCAGCCGACCCGCGCACACGTGGCGCCATCTTGGCGTGACACGTCACCTTCCTTGCCACGTCAGCAGTGGTCACATCCGCCGCAGAATCAGCACCAGGAGACTGGGCAACAGCAGAACGGATTTCAGGGAAACGGTTACCTGGGAAATGGGCAGGCAAGGGGGAATGCAAGGGAAGATGGGTGGGGAGGAGAGCGAGGAGAGGACAGGGAAGCGGAGGGAGGAGCGGGACGGGGAGAAGGGATGGAAGATATGGAAGAGGAGGACGAGGAAATAGGCGGTAGAGTAGGGAGGAGGAGGGTAGGGGTAGGGGTAGGGGTAGGGGTAGGGAGGCGGGCTGGGGTGGTTAGAGGGCGACGAATAGTTCTGGATGATGATGGGGAGGGGGATGGAGAGGACGAGAGGCAGGGGGGAGGGCGAGTGAGGAGGGAGGAGAGGGGGGAGCAAGGGGGGGAGAGGAGAGGAGGAGGGCATGAGGAGGTGGAGATGGAAGAGGAGGAGGAGGCGGTGTGGAGGCGTTGGAGTGATGGTGGAGTGTTGGCTTTTGAGACGTCTCAAAAGTTGGAAACCCATCCTTCTCCTTCTCCCCCTACTGCTGCTGCTCCAACTTCCACTCCCCCTACTGCTGCTGCTCCAACTTCCACTCCCCCTCCTGCTGCCCGCACTGCTGCTCCCCCTGCTGCTGCTGCTGCTGCTGCTCCCGCTGCTGTTGGTAGAGGGCGTGTGGGTGGTGCAGGGGAGGGGGTGAAACGAATGGAGGTTGTGGACCTGACAGACGATGAGGATGCTGCCCATGCAGTTGTGGGGATGATGAACAGACCTTCACCAGCAGCACAAGCAGCAGTGGCAGGAGCAGCAGCATCGCCAGGTGCATTCTCAGCAGCACCACCACCACCATCATCAGCAGCAGCAGTGGCTGTGGGAGCAAGAGCGACAACATCAGCAGCAGCAGAACCAGCAGCCGCAGCAGCTGCAACCGAGGCAGGAGCGGTGGGAGGAGGAGGAGGAGGGGAAGTGTTTGGTTACTTGGCGGATGTTGTTACGGGAGGGGAGGAAGAGGACGGAACAGGAGCAGAAACAAGAGGAGGAGGGAGTGAGAGGGAGGGTGGCAAGCGGCTCACAGTGAAGGTATGCGGCTTATCCCTTTCATGCGGCGGGTAGCGTAAGCTAGGATATGGCGTATCTCTTTCATTCCAATTCCTCTTCCTTACGCATGCTTGTAGTGGTGTTTTGAGACGTCTCAAAACATGCTTGTAGTGGTTCCTTTTGGGTGAGGCTGAGGTATCTGTTGCGCAGTTCCTTAGGTTCTTTCTGCTCGTTAGTGTTCCTTTCAGTTCTTTCTTCGTTTTTCCATATTCACCAAGTGCTGGGTGCAAGCAACTGCAACCAAGGCGCCTCCGACCACACTACACTGCACCACACGCCTCTCAACCCCCCGTCCTCCGTCCTCTGCCCCTCCCTCACCTCCCCCACCAGTGCGTGGTGGTGGGAGTGAAGGAGTTCAGCTACCGCACGCCTGGTGTGGTGTGCCTGGTGTGGTGTGGGATGACTTCAGAGACAGATCAAGAGTCACTTCAAAGTCCCCTCCTGTGCTCCTCCCTCCTCTCCCCCCATTCCCCTCAGTGCGTGGTGGTGGGGGTGAAGGAGTTCAGCTATCGCACGCCCGGTGTGGTTCGCCTGGTGGTGTATGTCGATGATGGCTGCTCGCTCATGCCCGCTGCTGTGCACACTGCTGTGAGTCCAGTGACTGTGAACTCTGCTGTGTACAATAAGCAGCTTTTTTTTTTTTCCGACTTTCTTTACACCGCACATAGCACACAGCACATCCCACACCACACGCGCTACTCCTTGCCAGCTGTAAGGCTATACACTGCACACTGTAAATTGTAAGCTGTACACGCACCACAGCCTCCAGACCCTTGAGTGTGCATGGACAAGCCCTTGCTTCTTTGCGAGGCGCTTTAACACCAAAAAAAAAAAAAAAAAACATCCACTACCTTCCTTCTCCTCCCCCCACCCACGGCCCCAACCAGGAGATAGCGCGGCTGCTGCACATGGACGAGGCGGCTCTGCTCGCCATCACCCTCTCGCCGTCTCTACCCCGTACCCTCTCGTTTTCTCTCCCTTCATCCCCTGCCCCTTCCTATTCTCCCCTGTGTTATTCCGACCATGGCCTCCACCAGCAGATAGCGCAGCTGTTGCACATGGACGAGGCGGCTCTGCTTCTTCAGCCGCCTCATGAATCACCCCCTCTCTTTCCACCCCTATTTCCCCTTCCCACCCACTTCCCCGTGTCTTCCTGACCGTGGCCTCCACCAGGAGATAGCGCGCCTGCTGCATATGGACGAGGCGGCTCTGCTTCTTGAGGCGCTCAAAGTTTCCCGCCCCTTTTTCTCTTCCCCGTTGTGCCGAGGTGACTTTGAGTCGACTCAAAAGTCTTTCTCTTCCCCGTTGTGCCTTTCTTGCCGCCTCCCACTCGCTCACCAGGAGATAGCGCGCCTGCTGCACATGGACGAGGCGGCTCTGCTCGCCATCACCCGTGCACCCTCCTTGCCGCCTCCCTTCCGCTCTGCCCTCATGCGCCTGCAAGCCTTCCTTGCTTCCTTCGAGGTCCGTGCTTGTTTTGAGGTGATAAGTCTGAGGTGATTCGAGGTGATTGCTTTAAGGTGATACCCATGAGGGTCCAATGGGGTGGTCTTGTTTGTCATCCAGTTGTATCCCATGATGGAATGGTGTTTGTTTCCTCGCAGCATGTTCTGATGGGTGGGGTGAGTGAGTCTGCACTCGTATTGCTTTGTCTCGCCCTGCTCAATAACATGCTGTCTTTCCAGTAGAATCTGAGTGATTTTTTAGAATTCTCGAATCTGAACACTTGTTGTGCCCAACTCAGTTGCTCCACTTGCCTGCTTTGACCTGGCCTAAGGCTCTCAACCCCAGCATTGTCTGCTCATCTTCCTCTCTATCTCTACTCTTTCACTCTCCCTTCCTCCTCTCCACGGTGCATGCCTTCCATCCTCTCTCTCTCTCTCTCTGCGCCTCAGGGGCTAATCCAAGTCGGCTTTTCTCAGTCGCATCCTAACTCAGGCACCAACTCAGCAGGTGTCAATGCCTGCAAGGGGGCAGGGGGGAAGCAGCAAAGCAGGGCAAGGGAGTTGACGATATTCCACATGAGCACAGGCTGCAGAGGGGTAGATCTCAACCTGATTTCGGATAGAGTGGCTTCTGCATGGGAGAGGTTTAGAAGTTGATGCAAGAAACCGTGATGTTGGCTGATTTGTGTTGTGTTTTGCTATGGGTGTATAGTTCCCAGTGAGGCTGCTCTAATCATTTCATTCGTTTAGAGTGAGATTTTTCCTCCCATTAGATGCCTGCACGGACCAATATCAATGTAACACGCCCTAAGATTGTGATATGTTGCTCTGGAGGTGCACTGCCATGTGTGGGGTCGTTATTCTCCGCCAATCATGTCAATTTGCTGTGCTCGTCAGTGGTTGGTTTGGGAGGGGTCACAATTCTCTGGGCCTTGGGAATGCCCTCGAAGCTGCCTGCTTGTCTGCTGGTGGTCTGGTGTGGTTCAGTAGGGTTCCACATTCTATACAAACGGTTCCCTCTGCTCGCTCCGAACTCCACCAGACTGAACCGTGCCGATTGAATTCAGCGCTTCTTCCGACAACCCGCAATCAAGCCCTAGTTCACTCCCTCCCCGCAAATCACATTCCTTCCGCCTCCCTCTTGAATCCTCCTTGGCTCGTTGCCCTCGAGACCACGTTTCACGCTGCATCGCAATGCACCCTCCGGGTTGCTCGTCATCTCGCTTTCTCCTGTCCTGCCCCGGCCGCTCGAGTACCATTTCCGCGCGTAAATTGCGTTGCACCGTTGCTCAGCTCTCACTCTCACCCTCAATCTCGAAAGCAACTTTCTACCGTCGTCGTACACTCAAAGATGGCGGCTTTCAATCCCCCACACGACCTGATCCAAACGATCACTGAAACCACTACTACCGCTAGTGACCCGTTCGAGAATTTCCCAGATGATCTACTCGTCCTGATATTCCGCCACGCCATGCAAGGACCCCCCGCATCACCCGCCGCTCCTGCCGACAACCAGCAGGACCCTTCCACCACCGCATCGTCACCTTCCTCCGCCTCCCCCGCCGCGTCATCCGCCGCCTCTCCCGTCGCCTCCTCCACCGCCGCCTCCGCCGTTTCCTCCGCCGCCTCCTCCGCTGCTGCCTCCGCCGCCCTCTCCGCCGCCTTCTCCGCCGCCTCGGCCATCTCCTCGTCCCCCGACCCCGTCTGCCCGTTCTCCCTCGCGCTCGTATCTTCCCGCTGGCTGCGCCTCGCGTATCTCGCCGTGCCGTCCATCGACCTCACGCAGCGTCGCGCGATTCCCGCGTCGGATCTCGCGCGGTCCGTCGCTCGCATGCCGAATCTCGCCTTGCTTCACGTCGCCGTGGACCCTCCGGCTTCCCTCACAGACTCGCTTTTAGCGGCGATCGCGCGCGCGTGTCCCGCGCTTGCGGATCTGACTCTGTCGCCGTACGGTTCGTACACGAACGAAGGTCTCGATACGCTCTTTTCGCGTTGCACGCGCTTGACAAAACTCGATCTAAACTGTCCGCGCACGGTCACCGCGTTTCCAGGAAGCATCTCGAATGTAACTGGGCTGGTTTCTCTTAGCATTTCGTCAGGCACCCTTTCTCACTTACCTGACGAAATTGGCGCGCTTCACGCTCTAGAATCCCTGTATTTAGAAACAGATAATCTTGAATCGCTGCCCGAAGCTTTGGGCAGCCTCAGCAACTTACGGGACCTGGAGCTGGTGGAGTGCACCGCTTTATCCGCCCTGCCCAATACACTCGGGCAGCTCTTGAAACTATCTCATTTCTGTGCCATGGGGTGCGAGGATCTAGTCACTCTCCCCAATTCATTCTGCCGGTGTTCTGCCCTAAACACCCTCGACCTCGCCCTGCCAAACCTTTCCAGGCTGCCCGATAATTTTGGGCAGCTGCGCAGCCTACGCTCGCTAAACATTTGTTCCTGCCATGCTCTTGACGCCCTACCCGCATCCTTCACCCAGCTATCCTCCCTCCAGCTGTTAGACCTCAGCGAATGTTTTTTTCAGCTGCCCGAAGACTTGGGAAATTTGACCAGTCTGAGAAGGCTGATGGTCAGTGATTGCAGTGCGCTCATTAGTCTGCCCGCCTCCCTGCCCCAGCTTTCCCTCCTAGAATGCCTGCGAATCACGGGCTGCAGCCAGATTCGTTCTCTGCCCGAGAATATCGGGCAGCTCTCAGCAGTTGAAGCGCTGTATCTGTGCAACTTAAGTGATCTACAGAGTCTACCCGAGTCCATTGGGCACTTGCAAAAGCTTCAATCACTGAGACTACATGGTTGTGACTCACTTCAACTGCTCCCTGAGTCCTTTCCACTGCTTCCCACTCTGCACACTCTTGAAATCAGCAGCTGCGGCTCTCTCTCCTCTCTGCCTGAAAACTTCAGCTCCTTACAGAATCTCCAACAGCTCAGCATCAGCTACTGCCCGAGAATCTCACAGCTGCCCGCCAGCCTCACGCACTGCCCGTCCCTGCAGCGGCTATTCATCCGCTGCTGCTCGGGCCTCACATGCCTGCCTGAAGCCATCGGTTCTACCCCTCGGCTAGTCGAGCTTGATGTGGATAGCTGCAGGGGCGTTCGCACTCTGCCCTTCTCCCTCGCCCAGCTGTGCGTGCCGCGCAATGGCTTGGTGGCACGGGTGCGCATTGCCGCGTGCTGCCGGAAAGCAGATGTGGATTTGATTCTCCAGGACCTGGTGGATGAAGAGGGGCTGGTAGAGGTGAGGAGGAGGGGACAGGAGGAAGAGGAGCATGTGGAAAGTAGTGAGGAGGAGGAGGAGGAGGAGGAGGAAGAGGAGGAATGAGAACGAGGACTAGGAGGACAAAGAGGAGAGGGGGAGGAGGAGGACAAGGATGAGGAGGAGGAAGAGGACAAGGATTAGGAGGGAAAGATGAGGAGGAAGAGGAAGAGGTCAAGGAGGAAGAGGATGGTGAAGAGGACCAGGGAGGTGGTGCACGTGGAGGGGCAGAATGAGGAGCATAGCAGTGGGAGGTCATGCGCCATTACTGCTCCTCCGAAATATCCAGCAAGGGAAGCGGCATTCAGTCCTGTGCTGCTCAGCCGTGCAGTTGAGCCATGCTGCTGTTCACCCAGGCCAGTACCCCGCCTGACTACCAGGCCAACCCGCTGCTGTAGGCTGTAACCCCCCAGGCATGCGATCAGTGAAGCTAGGAGCTTCGAGCAGCCCCTCACGTGAATGACCTGAGAGCTTACTAGGCTCTCTGGTCAAAGGCTGTCCTTGGTGCCAAAGCACGAGGAGGTTGAATGAATGTTGAAACCTCTCCCCAACTTATCAGAAGACCCTGTTGGGTGCTCAGTGGTCACCAGAGTGACGTCAGGTCCTCTCCATTGGAGGGTCAGCAGTAGGGCTCAGGGCTCAATCGGGGTGGGTTGTCGTGGAGGAGGACGGGGAAGAGGCGGAGGAGGGACTGATAGGGATGGCGGGATATGTGATGTGATGCGCTGTAGTACTTTAAAGCTATGGTGTTCTTTCATGCCAAGCTATGGTGTTATCATCTTCCCTGTCTTTCCGTATCTTAGTTTCCTTCAGAGACAGCAGCACCTGCTTAGAATGTTGTGAAACATGTAAACATCCATTTCCACTATAGGGGTTACTCTCACAGGGATGTGAAGCAGACACATGCTTGGCTTGGCTTGGCACGCAAGTGCAACAATGAGCTATACATGCACTCCAACTGAATAGTTATCACAAAGTGCATTCAGGTTCTTTAAATGGCCAACAGCAAGATACTTCCCCGCCAGATTCATCATTTTCAGGCCTTGAACCGTCTGACTATCTGGTCAGATCCATCTACCCCAATTTGACCATCCAACAGCATTTGCGAAATTTGTTTCATGTGTTGGTTCTCTATAACGAACCCGTACCTGTTACTTACCGCAGGGTAACCTTAGCGAACGCCGTCTGTTCTTCGCAAGTAGGTTGCTACACCATGCCGACAGGACAGGGCGGTCAAAACCCCCCCAGAGGGGCACAGGGGAAATCGAGAATTCTCATTTGTCCTCTTCCAAGCTCGTTTCTTGCTGTCCTCTTTCCCAGTCCGTCACAACGGCAGACGACACATGCCAGCAGCGGCACATGCGGCAGAACTTCACCAGCATTTCTACCGATTCGCTTGCCTCATCATCCCGCGCCTATCATTAAGCAACTAGTAGAAGAAAACAGTTATTTTTTTATCGCCGCGTTCAAGGCGCCAGGCGTAGTTAAGCAATTTACTGGGCTAGTGTTTCTCCTTTCTTCGCGCAGTTTCCTCTCCACGCGCCGGCTTTCATCCCGCGCGCCTACTAGCCCATGGCGTCTGCGCCAGCGTTCATCCCCTCTGCCGCGCAATACTCGCGGAATCTCCGCCACTTACCGCCAGCTTCCGCCAGTCCCAGCAATTTCGGGCCTGCCGCTGGTCCCCCCGCCATTTCGGCACGCGCGGAGACGGCGTCTCGCGTCGCAGCGGTTGTTCGGCGGCTGCGCAGACTCTGCGGGCGGGACTTGTTTCTTCCGCGGAGGGTGCAGATTTCCGGCTGTCCGCGGGCAGGTGCGCGCAGGGGGGGGGGGGGGGGGGGGGGGGATGGAGAGTGAGGAGTTGTAGAATGGGGGTAAGGGGAATGTGGGGAAGAGGAATGTAGACTAGGGAATAGGGGAAAGGGGAAGGGGGGGTTAATCAAATCAGAAAGGCTGGGAAAAGAGAATTTGGATAAGGGCAGCGACCACGTTTTGAAGTTCAAATGTTTTTCTTCTGGCCGGCCTGTCTATTCAGTTAAGGCTGTCGCACTTTTGTGTTTGCCGTAACTCTTAAACCCTTAAATCTCAACCCTGTGCCCCATGTTTGTACGTGCATGTGTGCACATGTGCATATGCGAGCGTGCGCGTGTGCGCGTGTGCGTGCGTGCGTGCGTGCGTGTGCGCCCGTATGTGTGAGTGTACGTGTGCGTGTGTGTGTGCGTGTGTGTGTGTGCGTGTGCGTGAGTGCGCGTATGCGTGCGCGTGCGCATGCAGGCATGGGCAGCTGTCCACATGCACCTCATCATCCCACTCCACCTTCACTCTCTCCTCCTTTCGCACCACCACCAACACCACCACCACCACCAGTGTCGATAGCTCTAACACAACCCCCAAAACCGCCTCTCGCCGACCATCCCTCAGCAGCAGCACCAGCAGCACTACCAGCAGCAGCAGCAGCAGGCTTGGCAGCACAGGTCGCGCCTTCTCTGGTGTAGCCCCGCACAGTCTCAACCCTACAGCATGGCACGGTGCGAGGGGAAGACACAGCTACTTGGGCAGACGGAACAAGCACCTCGTTCCGAATCACCACCACCACCACCACCCGCACCAGCAGCGCCGTCGTTCCTGTCATTCCCATCACCACCGGCTTTCATCACATGCTCATGCTCATGCCCATGATAACCAGCAGCATCAGACGTGGCGAGGGAGGAGGAGGAGTGTGCGGAGCTCAGTTCCGGATCTCACCCGAGTGATTGCTATTCCAATGGTTATGGCATCCCAGTGATACACTCACAATCACCCTCACCCTCACCCTCACCCTCACCCTCACCCTCACCCTCACCCACTCCCTCACACTCACTCTCACAGTCTCATGCGCAAACACACTCCCAGCACCACCACCAGCCGCTTCAGCAGCACTCGGCAACCCACACTGAGCATGAGGTTCAGAAAACAGCAGCGGCTGCATGGGACGCAGCAGCAGCCACAGCAGCGGCAGCATCCGCGGCACAAGGAGCAGCAGCAGCAGCAGCAGCAGCAGTTCGCGAGAGGGAAGGCAGAGAGGCTGACGGGGCGGCAGCAGCGCCACGACCACGGTGGCGCAGGGTGCTGCTGAAAGTCAGTGGCGAGGCGCTGGCAGGCGATGGCTCCTCCAACATCGATGCCCAGGTGGGGTGGTGGGGATGGTGGGGATGGTGGGGATGGTGGGGTGGTGGGGGTGGTGGGGATGGTGGGGATGGTGGGGATGGTGGGGATGGGAATCGGGGGTGGGTGGGGATGGGGATGGGGATGGGTGGATGGATTGGGATGGGGTCCCATTTGACCCTTAAGTTCATCTTTTTGCCAGCAACGTGTTTCGTCCGCATTCTCTCACCTCCCCTCCCATCCGCGCCCCCTCTCCTAACTCCTTCCCGCGACCCCCGTCTCCCTCCCAACCCCCTCCCCCCGCCAACTGTCGCATCCCATCTTTTCGCCAGCATCGCATTTGGTTTTTAGATTCTCTTTTGGCATCCGCACCACCCCTGCCTGCCCTCCGTGTGACCTGTGACTCATCACAGAGTCTCACCACACCAGCATTGCTCGGGATATGTTTTCTAGACGCCTCCAAAAATGACTGCTGCTCCTTCCGCCCCTTCCCCCCCCTCTCCCCATCCCCTCCCAACCTCCCTCTCTCCCTCCTCCCCACGCGCCCTGCATGTCCCTCCCGCTGCCCTGTCGTGGCAGATTCTAGCCAGCATTGCGCGGGAAGTGGCTGACATCAGCCGCAGAGGCGTGCAGGTGAGGAGGAGGGATGGGGAATGGGGGAGGAAGAGGAGCGGAGAGCGGGGGGGGGGGGGGGGGGAGGGGGGGAGATGGGAAGGGGCAGAGCAGAGGGAGAAAAGGGAGAGGGGAAAGCTGCCCGCAACGCACGGCAACAGTGCTATATGCCGCCACCACCCCTCCCCCTCCCCCCCCCCCCCCGCTGTCTTGACAGTGCTTCATCTCCCGCTGTCTCGACAGTGCCACACCCCCCCTTTCCCCACCGCACACCTCAATCATGGACCATTCTCCATGGTCAATAGCCCACGCCACACCATCCTATGCTTCACATTGCTCTCCTCCACCCCCCTGGTTGCAATTTGACATCTGACCCTGCCATCCCTACCACCTCTCCATCCTTCCCTCCCTCCCTCCCTCCCTCCCTCCCTCCCTCCCTCCCTCCCTCCCTCCCTCCCTCCCTCCCTCCCTCCCTCCCTCCCTCCCTCCCTCCCTCCCTCCCCTCCCTCCCTCCCTCCCTCCCTCCCTCCCTCCCTCCCTCCCCTCCCTCCCTCCCTCCCTCCCTCCCTCCCTCCCTCCCTCCCTCCCTCCCTCCCTCCCTCCCTCCCTCCCTCCCTCCCTCCCCCGCCCTCCCTTGCAGGTGGCGGTGGTGGTGGGAGGGGGCAACTTCTTCAGAGGGGCCAAGTGGTCGGGGGTCAGTGGGCTCGACAGAGCATCGGCGGACCACATCGGCGGTGTGGGTGTGTGGGTGTGTGGGTGTGTGGGTGTGTGGGCGGGCTATCCCGTATCCAGAAACGACCACATATTGTGGGTGGGTGGGCGGGTGGGCGGGTGGGTGGGCGGGTGGGCTGGCGGGTGGGCGGGCGGGCAGGTGGGTGGGCGGATGGGTGAGGAGGTGGGTAGGTGAATGAATGAGCGATAGGGCTGCTAGAAGGGACGAGGTCTAGTCGGGTCGGGTTGGATGCGGACATGTTGTAACGTTCTTTTCTTGGTGTTAACATTGCGACTGGAGTTGAGGAGAAGCCAGATGGAGTGTGAGGGCAGGGCAGACTCTCCTGTGTGCACCGCACCTTCTCCTCTTCACACTTCCCCTCTCAACCCGCCCGACCCCCACTTCCCCCTTTCCCCCACAGCATGCTAGCAACGGTGATGAACGGCAGCAGGCGTCGTTGGAGAGCTAGGGCATACCCATCCATGCGAGTGCTTCCACCCCCCCCCCCCCCCCCCCTTCTCGTTCACCCCACCCTTCCATTCCCCACCAATCCCCCGCGCCCGTTTCCCCCACAGCATGCTAGCAACGGTGATGAACGGCATATTCCTGCAGGTGTCGTTGGAGAGCGAGGAGATACCCACCCATGTGCGCTCTCCCCACCCATTTTCCCCCCCTTCCCATTTCCCCCATCATCCCCGCCCATTCCACCCCAGCATGCTAGCAACGGTGATGAATGGCATATTCCTGCAGGCGTCGTTGGAGAGCGAGGGCGTGGCCACGCGCGTGCAGACGGCCTTCCGCATGAGTGAGGTGGCGGAGCCCTACATCCGCCGCCGTGCCGTGCGCCACCTTGAGAAGGGCCGCGTGGTTATATTTGCTGCTGGGACTGGCAACCCTTTCTTTACGACCGACACTGCTGCTGCGCTCCGAGCGGCTGAGAGTGAGCTCTTTTCGTGGTGCTTTGGGGAAGAGGGATCAGGGATGGTTGGGCTGTGAAACAAGGAGCACCCGCAACCCCTTCTTTCTTATGGATAAGTGAAGTAGTCTGCACCGTATGAGCGAGTTGGCGGAGCCCTACATCCGCCGCCGCGCCGTGCGCCACCTGGAGAAGGGGCGCATTGTCATCTTTACCGCTGACACCGGCAACCCTTTCTTTACGACCGACACTGCTGCTGCACTCAGGGCCGCTGAGAGTACGTGCAGAGGGGAGGTTGGTTTGGTCTGGGGGAACAAGTGAAAGTGGTCATGTGTGATTGATTGGTTCACGCCGTTCACCCCCCCCCCCCCCCGCCCCGCCCCGCCCCTCCCTCCCCTCCTCCTCTCCTTCACCTCCTCCCCCATGGCTTCCTCGCCAGTCGACGCGGAGGTGGTGCTCAAGGCCACCAACGTGGACGGAGTGTATGACTCGGACCCGAGGTCGTTTTTGAGGCGCCTCAAAAACGACACCAACGTGGACGGAGTGTATGACTCGGACCCGCGCAGCGCAGAAACCACCCGTCCCCACGAACGTGGACGGAGTGTACGACTCTCTTTCCTCTTCAACTTACCGCTCCTTGCTTCCCCCCTTCCCCTCCCACAACACAACCATCACATTCTCTCTCCCCTCTCTCCCCTCTCTCCCCTCTCTCCCCTCTCTCCCCTCTCTCTCCCCTCTCATTCCACTCTCCCCCCGCTTTTCCCCCCATCCCCAGTCGATGCAGAGGTGGTGCTGAAGGCCACCAATGTGGACGGCGTCTACGACTCCGACCCGCGCAGCAATGAGCACGCGCGCCTGCTGCCACTGCTCTCCCACCGCGACGTCACACTGCAGCAGCTGCGCGTCATGGACACCACTGCCATCACGCTGTGCCATGAGAATGGCCTGCCAGGTGAGGGAGAGTCATGTGCCCGCCCGCCCGTGCAGTTAGGCTGGACGTGCGGGCGGGGTCAATGCTTTGCTCGCTGCTGCAGCTGCGCATCATGGACTGGACACCACTGCCATGCCATCACGCTGTGTCACGAGAATCGGTTACCAGGAGAGTCACGCAATGGGACTGCGTATGGGGCAGCATACCAGCACCGGTGAATGCTGTGCTCTCCCACCGCGACGTCACGCTGCAGCAGCTGCGTGTCATGGACTGGACACCACTGCCATCACGCTGTGCCATGAGAATCGGCTACCAGGTAGGTGAGGCTAACACGCGCTGTCATGCAAGTAGACTAGGTATGGAGTCAATGCCTTGCCCTCTGGAGAAGCTGCGGCAGCTGCTGCACGTCATGGGCAGGGCACCACAGCCATGCCATGCCATGCCATCCCCTTGTGCCACGAGAATGGACTGCTCTGTGAGAGTCACATGCACTGCCATGCAAAGGGACTGGAATTCGGGCCAATGCTTTTCTCCCGCATGGGATTAGATCAGATTCCCAACTGTGGGGTGTCAATCAATCTCAGTGCCATGAGAATGGAATGGACTGCCGGGTGAGCGTCATAGTCTCCAATCTCCCCCTCTCCCCTTGTCCCCCCCCCTCTCGCCCTCTCCTTTTTCCCCCTTGTCCCCCTCTCCCATTTTTTTCACTCTTCCCCTCTCCCTTTTCCCCCCCTGTCCTCCTCTCCCCTTTTTCCCCTCTCCCCCTCTCCCCCTTTCCCCCTCTCTCCTCTCCCCCTCCTTCCCCCTCTCCCCCTCTCTCCATTGCCCTCCCGCTACACAGTGGTAGTGTTCAACCTCACTGTACCGGGCAACATTGTGCGTGCACTCAGTGGCGAGCCCGTGGGAACTCTCATTCTACCTTGATGTCTTCTCGTGCTGAGGTTTTCACGTGGCCCCCCTGACTCCAGACCACCAACTAGTATCTTAGTGCGATCCCCTTGAGAGTTTGTATTCGCCTGTATTCGCCTGTATTCGCCTGTTTACAAGCACCATTTCTCTTTCCAATCCATCTGGTGGCTAGACTTTCTTTGTTTGCTTGTTTTTTTTTTTCACCTGCGCTTATACGGCTGTGTTAGGTGAAACTTGTTCTCACATGAAGACACTAATGTTCATCAAACGAAAATGTCTGCATGAACTGCCCAAACCCCGCCTGATTAAAGTGAGGGTACAAGTCAGGGCCCCCAAAACAGTTGGGAGAGGTACCATGACACTCCCTTTCAGACTGAGCAGCTTAATTTTCAGGCTAAGAATCTCTGCAACTCTGATGAAAGTGTACCCGTTTTTTCTGAAAGACCTCGTTGAGAGTGCAACGCGGGTACCAGTATATCGGGTTTTGGGAAGGAATCGCGCTGGATGTTGACGTGGAGGACTCGATTCGCGCGCGAGCTGCCCTTGTTCACGCCATACGACAGCTAATGGCGGTATATCCTAACGCGAGCGTTGTGCATTTCTACAGTATCCCGTCTGTGACATCGTGGTGTATCTCAACGCTCCTGACGATGGTTAAAGCTCGCGTCTCATATTTACTAGTGTTTAACACTCGGTTGGGTTTGCCCGTCTGTGATTGGGTGACGAATAACGAAATACTTTGACGAGTAGGTGAAAAAAGCACAGCGAACTCCCAAACAACCGAGGCCAAAACAAACCAGGGTGGTTTGGGTTGGATGGAAAACGAGCCAGGGGAGACAGGTTTGACCATGATTGAGATAAGTGCGATCCACCACGTCCTCGCAGGCACATCGCACGTTGATGTATGTCAGCAACTGAGTGCCCACGCCGAGCAACCATGCTCCCGTCGCTGAGCCGTAGGAACGCCGGAACAGAAACAAGGGTCGCACCTGCATTCCCCGACTCGAATAGACAGCTCTGTTGAAAGGCGAGAAGCGCGGAAAGAGATACCGGAATGGCTAATTGAGATTACGACGGGCGGAATGAGAGTGGGCGTGGTGTGAGTAGGAATGGGCGGCATGAATTTAGACAGAGTTGTCTGCGAGTTGGAAAGTCGAAATTAGTGCGTGAAGGGCGGAACGGTAGGAAGAACGGCGGAATAAGAAGAAGAAGGGCGGAACGAGAGAAAGACCAACGGACTGAGAGGAAGAAGGTCGGAATGAGCGGAATAAGGGCGGAATGAGAGGATGAACGGCGGAATGAGAGGAAGAAGGGCGGAATGACAGTGGGTAGGGCGGAAAGAGAGTAGGATGGGCGGAATGAGAGTAAGAAGGGCGGAATGACAGTAGGGATGGCCGGAATGAGATTAGGGATGGGCGGAACAAGAGTAGGGTTAGAGCGGAATGAGAGGAAGAAGGGCGGTAGCGTCGCCTCTCACTCTTTGCAACATTGCTTCTAAGTCGCAGCTACGTCGCGAAATCTTCGCCACACTTCGGCATCCTCGCCGCATCCCGCCTGCCCGTCGCAACGCCACGTGAGCAGCCCATTCGTCACGCTGCAGCCTCGCTGCCACCTCGCCGTATCGCGAACGTCGCTCCCTACGCGCCACGCCACCTCAAGTGCGCATCCTCCTCACCCTCTCGCCTCCTCGCCAAAGTCGCGGACTCATTGCCTCCCATCCTGTCCGTGTCACTACCGCCGTTACCCCCCTCGCCACCTCATCGCCGCCTCGCCGATTCCAAGAGGCCTCTCGGCTCTCCCCCCCTTGCCCTCCTCTCCCCCCCCTGTCCTCCTCTCTCCCCCAAGTCCTCCTCTCCCCCCCCTGTCCTCATACCTCCCTTTCCCCCAGGTCATACCTCCCTTTCCCCCTTGTCGCACCTCCCTTCCCCCCAGGACGTGGGGGCGTCCCCACTTAGACCGACCTAGCACAGTAAGGTTTCCCCAGGCGCCGCCGCTAACTTCTTATCCGCCTTACTCCCCAACCCCTCCACCTCCACCTTTCCTCCCATCCCATCAGCTATCAGTTACTGAGGGAGATGGGAGCACTTGAAGTGGGCGAGGACCGTGACTTTGCAGGGCTGGGAAGCAGAGACGGAGTGGAGCAGTGGCTCCGCACGGTAAGGTTTCCCCAAGTCGCACCTCCCCTTCCACCCAGGTCGCAAATCCCCTTACAGGTCGCACCTCCCCAGACTCTCCTTCACAGCGCACCTTCGCACTCCCTCACAATGCACTACCCCTCCCAGAGGTCTCATTCCCCTCCGATCCCTTCTTCCTCCCTCCGGGTGCCATTTTTCTCACTGTATTTCTTTGCCTCTCCTTCTTTCCCACTCATTCGTCGCGCCTATCCCCTGCGTGCTGGGCTGGGTATTGTGCAGGCGGCAGCAGGGCAGCGGGGCGCCATGCAGGGTATAGGGCATGGGCGGGGATTCAGGCAGGCGTGGGTTCTCCACTCGCCCTGCCTCCACACATGCTGCTCCTCTCTCTCCCTTGGCCTCCTCTCTCCCCTCTCACCTGTCCTCCTTATCCCCCCTGCCCTCCTCTCTCCCCTTCGCCCTCCTCTCCCCTTCC